GGTTAACTTTCTAGTATTCTCGTGAGCTTTTCAGCTTTCTAAACTCCAATCTGAGCTTTGATTACGCCCTTGACTCAGTTATACCAGAATATCAAATGCCTGCATTCGCCTTTCTGCCAAATGTTATTTATGTGTTCCTCTTACTCTTATTTATACTACTGTCAAGATGAAGTTTATGATTCGATTGATTCTATAATGAATAACAAATGGTAAAATTGTGGTAAGCTTCTACTACATTAAGGACAAGTATACGTTTGGAAAGTACCGTAGAGTCATAAAGAGGGGATAGGTAACGGTCTGCTTAAGCCTGTTGCCTTCCTTTGATTTTCGAATTTGGAACTAAAGCTTAATGTTCAGCTATATCACTATATACTCGAGATGTCAAGCAAAGTTTGTCAAAGCTTTCCAAAACAAGGGTTGAAGTGAGTGGAGATAGTTTGCGACGTTTTCGCTTCTTTGATATTGTACGAGGAAGTCTGTCTGATGCATTAATTACCTATGCTTTTTGTGTAAAGAAAGGTAGAGTAATCAGTTTCATATGATATTCTCTAATGCGGCTATCATAGAATGAAAGTGATTTAGCACTTTCATTATCTACATGTGCCAGGGCGCATCGCAAAAGCAGAAGTCGTAACGATCATGTTCATTACCTTTTCATGCGAAGATAGTGTATGCTAATCTCATCGTGAAGATAATCATCTCTGTTCGAACTCGCGCCTGCCGATGTTGCAATGACGGCTACTCTCACCGACTGCCTCGTTTTGGTTGAGGACATGCAGGTGCGAAGATCAGTGCGACAGTGCTCGGGGCCCTAGAGCAGTCGTTAGTAGTCGGTGTAAAGCATATCCCTGCTCCCCCTTTCCTCTTTGAAGTGTCTATACACGGTTAGATTGGTTTGCTCTGCCTGTGATTTCGTAACCAGGCACATCCCACTTGTCACAGGTGATTTTTTGCATCGCAACCGTGTGATGGTCCACGCGGTTCAGAGCTGCGTTTCCTAATAATATTAAAACTTATTAAGGAGCCACTGGACAGTAATCTTCTAGCTGGACTAAACAAATGTGATGATCAATCTCTGTTATTCCACTGGAAGTGATAAACGGAATATCTAGCTTACAGAAGCTTAATTGAATTGGTACATAATGGGTAATCCGGAATATTTTGCACTTTGAAGTGTAAGGATGGTTTGGAAGTAGAGCATATAAAGCTCGTAATACCTCTGCTGTAGCTGCGTTAGCAAACTGAACAAACAAAAAGTTTTGAACAACCGATATGTCGCAAACACCAATTCTCTCAAATTTTTTTGCTATCGAACAGAGTAAGCACGATTGATGGTGCAGGTAAACGTAAAAAAATTGCGCTTTCGGCCAAACCCTAGCCTCGACACTGTACTAAATCGTCGTTCGAAATAGGTCACAGATGATTGACAGCACCACGTGCATTTGACACTCTTGAGATCAACGCTATAGAAACCATTTTCGACGCTAAGATGAGGAACAGGCGAGGAGATCTGTCAAAACTCAGCGGAGCAGTACGACATGTATTGGTGATTGCCGCGATCCTAAAGGCCTGAAGTTTTCAACAAAAGGTCCGATCCTTGTGAAAGCTAAACTTATCTCAAAACAAAGTACTTGACTAATGGACTAAATGACTCGCGCGACAAAATTC